TGACTGAATATTTAGTGGTTTCTTGGGAAAATAAAAGAGTTGTCAGAGAAGGCCATCAGTAAGAAGCACTGTAATGAAAATGCATCAAGAGTCATACAGATGAATTCAGTTCACTGCTTCACCACTTACTAGCTGAACAATCTTAGGCAAATCCCTTAATCTCTGAATCGGAGTTTTTAATCTGTATAATAGAGATGGTAATATACCAGGTTTGTGAAAATCATCATTCAGTGGGAGAACATATTAATAAGGTTTGTGAATGCTTAAAAAAATCTAAACTATATAAGTATAATAATAGTACTAAATTCAAGGAACTCTGCTTGGACCTACCACTGTACCATTGATAGGTACCTAGTAAGTTTCTGGCTTGCAAGCAATAGGAATAAACTTTGTTTAAATTTTGCCAATTGTCTGCTAATGTCTTTTTTTTTTTTTTTTTTTTTTTTGAGACAGGGTCTTAACTCTGTTGCCCAGGGTAGAGTACAGTGGTGTTATCACAGCTCACAGCAACCTCAAACTCCTGGGCTCAGGTGATCCTCCTGCCTTCCTGAGTAGCTGGGACTACAGGTGCCCATCACCAAGCCTGGCTAAGTTTTTCTATTTTTAGTAGGGATGAGGTCTTCCTCTTGCTCAGGCTGATCTCAAACTCCTGACCTCAAGTGATCCTCCTGCCTCAGCCTCCCAGAGTGCTAGGAATATAAGCGTGAGCTGTTGTGCCAGGCCTGCTAATGTCCTTGTACTAGACCACGATCCACTCCAAGAACATCCATTGTATTTAGTTGTCATGTTTCCTTTAATCTGGAACAGTCTACTTTTGAAGAGAGTTGGCCAGTTATTTTATAGATTGTCCCACAATTTGTGTCTGGTTGATGTTTGTTCATGATTAAATTCAGGTTATGCAGTACCACTGAAGTGGTAGTGGTATACCCATCTCAGTGCATCCTTATCAGGAGGCAGGTAATGTCACTGTCTCATTTTTGGTGATGTTAACTTGGGTTAAGCACTAAACTCTTGGTTAACCAAGAGGACACCTGCCAGGTTTTTCCCCTATTAAGTTACTGTTATCCTTTATAATTTGATACTTTATATTTATATCCCAATTTTCATCATACTTTCATCCATTAATTTTAGCATCTATTGATTCTTTCCTGAAACAATCATTACTGTGGTTTTTGCCAAATGGTGATTTTCTGTTTTCATCATTCCTTCTATATTCATTGGAGTTTTAGTGTAAAAAAAAAAAAAGAGCTTTCCCTTCCTTTCCTTCTCCCTATTTATTCCATTATTTATATCAGCATAAACTCATGCATATTTGTTTTAATCTCCGTGGTACTATCATTTATTTTATTGCTCAATTCTCCCAAATTTGGCCATTGGGAACCCTTTTAAGTTGGCTCTGGTGTCCTTTTGACACATCCCTTCATTTTTTGAGTACTTCTTTACTTCCTGGTACCACATGATATTTAGCAACTAAATTTTCTTTTTAAAAAAAAATTTTTGTAGAGAAAGGGTCTCACTCTGTTGCCCAGGCTGGTCTAAAACTACTGACCTCAAGCGATCCTCCTCAGCCTCCCAAAGTTTTGGGATTACAGGTGTGAGCTATAACCGTTAGCTAACCTTTATGTGATGAGGAAAAAGATTGGGGAAGGGAGAAAAAGTGGTGTCAGTGGAATATATAAATACATAATGTGACAAAACAAGGAAGGTATTGGGGTAAGTGTTCTTGCTCTTGTTACTTCAAAAGATAATGAGGTCATGATTAGATTTTTTTTTTTGAGACAGAGCCTCAAGCTGTCCCCCTGGGTGGAGTGCCGTGGCATCACAGCTCACAGCAACCTCCAACTCCTGGGCTCAAGCGAGTCTCCTGCCTCAGTCTCCTTAGTAGCTGGGACCACAGGCGCTCACCACAATGCCCGGCTATTTTTTTTTGGTTGCAGCTGTCATTGTTGTTTTGGTGGGCCCAGGCTGGATTTGAACCCGCCACCTTAGGTGAATGTGGCTGCCGCCTTAGCCACTTAAGCCACAGGCGCCGAGCCATGATTAGATTTTATGAATTTTTTTGGCTACTCCTTCAGTGTTCCCTTTAGCATCAGCTAAAACCTCAGCTAGTTTCTCACTCATCACACAAACCCCTCTATCCCTAAAGATAGGAGGCTTACAGTAACTTGCCAATGGACCAAGTGTGCTACTCAAAGTATAGCCATGTAGACTGTTGCCAGTTGACCCTGTAAGAAGTACAAAAATTGAGATCAATTCAGAAATTTTTATATCAATTTGATATTATGTGATATCCAAACATACTGATGGGACTCATCTCATGGATCAAGGTACAGACCAGTTTGGGAATTGCAAAGCTTGCTTGGTGAATCACATATAGAACAACCTGCAGCCTAATCGTGCACAACAAAGCTATGTCATAGTGGGAGATATTTTAAGGTTAGTTTGCTGTTACCCAAAAGTATATAAAATCCAGAATTTTTATTTAACTCTAACTTTTACATCACAAATTGTTGGAACAGAATGAAGATTTGAAGACATATTTGGGGAACAAATCATCACTTGCTTTTTATTTTGGATGAAAATTAAAAATGAATATCCTGAGCTTGGTGAGTTACTTTAAAATACCTCCTTCTATTCCTGTCAGCATACCTTTGTGAGACTAGTTTCTCTATATGTTATTAAGACAAAACATAGAAATACTTTTACCTATCTATCATTCTTGGTGTGTAGCACTGTCAACAGTCCAACCTCAATTATATAGATTAACAAGCAACCAAGCTTATTTGTCACATTAAAAACTTCCTTTTTTCTTTTTTTCTTGAGACAAAGTCTTACTTGTCACCCTCGGTACTCAGAGTGCCCTGGTGTCATAGCTTACAGCAACCTCAAACTCAAGTTAGTCTCTTGTCTTAGCCTCCCAAGTAGCTGGGATTACATGTGCCCACCACAACTATTTCTTTTTTAGAGATGGGGTCTCATTCTTGCTCAGGCTGGTCTTAAACCTGTGAGCTCAGGCAATCTACCCACCTCTGCCTCCCAGAGTGCTAGGATTATAGGCGTGAGCCACTGTGCCTGGCCAAAAAATTTCTTGATATACACAGGTTTTTTTTTGTTGTTGTTTGTTTGTTTTGAGACTGTCTCACTATGTTGCCCTCAGTAGAGTGCTGTGGCATCATAGCTTACAGCAACCTCAAACTCTTAGGCTTAAGCAATTCTCTTGCCTTAGCCTCCCAAGTAGCTGGGACTACAGGCACTCACCACAATGCCCGGCTATTTTTGTTGTTGTTGCAGTTGTCATTGTTGTTTAGCAGGCCTGGGCCAGGTTTGAACCTGCCAGCCTCAGTGTATGTGGCCAGCGCCCTACCCACTGAATTACGGGCGCTGCCCAGTATACACAGTTTTTATTCAAAGTGTGTGTATAGTTATTTCATATGGGGAAATGGCACTGATTCATAACTACATTTGTAGCATTAAAGTTATGAGTAGTGATTATCTCTTAATTGCCAATATATACTTTCAAAGACTAGTTTTAATTTTTTTCTTATGTTTCTTCTGATTATTTAAAATACAGTCTTATCTGCTAAATATAATAAAACAATTGGGTGCATGTTTTTATATCACTTTAAATAATTCATTTTCACTGTAATTCATTTTTATCATAGTTTACAAAAATACTAGTCCACCAGGGATTTGAAATTAAAAATAAAAGACTACCCCAGCTGATCACTTGCCTATCCCTCCACTCCACCCTACCTTGTGTGACAACAATCCTATTTCCTCTTTGAGAGGAAAATGAGGATGCAATTTATTGAACTAGAAACGCCACAAAATGCCAAGAGTAAGAAAAAAATTAAATCAACTTAATGCATAACTACTTTAAGAAGAAAACAGAAAGCAAGCATCTGCTGATGAATGTTCTCCCCATAAAAGCCTACCATGAAGCACAAGAAAACTCTAATACAGGAACCCAAATTGAATTATGTACTCTCAAACATGCTTTTAAATATAAAAAATACAACTTGGTGCCCATAGCTCAATGGTTAGGGCACTGGACACATACACCAGGGCTGGCTGCTTCAGACTGGGCTCAGGCCTGTTAAACAACAATGACAACAACAACAAAAAATAAGCAGGTGTTGTGGCAGATGCCTGTAGTCCCAGCTACTTGGGAGGCTAAGTCAAGAGAATTGCTTAAGACGCGGTGCCTGTGGCTCAAGTGGCTAAGGCGCCAGCCTAAGGTGGCGGGTCCGAATCTAGCCTGGGCCCACCAAACAACGACAGCTGCAACCAAAATAATAGCCGGGCGTTGTGGCGGGTGCCTGTGGTCCCAGCTGCTTGGGAGGCTGAGGCAGGAGACACGCTTGAGCCCAGGAGTTGGAGGTTGCTGTGAGCTGTGATGCCACGGCACTACCCAGGGGGACAGCTTGAGGCTCTGTCTCAAAAAAGAAAAAAAAAGAGAGAGAGAGAGAATCACTTAAGCCCAAGAGTTTGAGGTGGTTGTGAGCCGTGAGGTCACGGCACTCTACCAAGGATGACAGTGAGTCTGAGGTTGCTGTGAGGTGTGACGCATGGCACTCTACCAGGGGTGACATAGACTCTGTTTCAAAAAATAAATAAATAAAATCCTAAAATCATAAATGTAAAAACTAAGAATGGAAATGAACAAGATACAGAGAGTTGAGTGAAGGACATGGGAGTTGACTGAACTCAGGAAGGAAATTATAGTCAAAGACAACTGTCTCAGAAGTGAATCAAGTACATCACTCACAAAAGAAGAGATTCAAATGGAGATCTAATAAAGGACATTGAATAAAGAAGGGGGAACAAGAAAATGAAAAGCAGGTAAATAAGTAAACAGGGTCAGAGAAAAAGTGGTTGAGATGGAAAATATACAGAAAAACTCCAATATGTTGATATGTGTATTATAAGATATAAGAGTCCCTGAAGAAAAACAATGGAAGAACTCTAATTTTTTTTTTCATGGAAAAGAGGTTTTCCTTTTTTCTGAAAACTCCAAGGTAAAGCAGAGTTCTAATAGATGCCATGCATTGCATAGGTGTTAGCAGTACTGCCCTCACTATATGCTCCCTAGACAATAGTGCCAACTCCAAGAAAAGGATGGTTGAGAGTTCATTTTTTAAAACTCAAATACAAGAAAGCTTTCCAGAAATAACAGAAAAAAATCTACATCTCGAAAGGAGCCACTGTGTGCTTAGGAAAATTGACCTGAATTAATTAACTCTGAAACCTGTTAATAAAGACAAGGAAAAAATCCTGGTCGGGTGCCCATAGTTCAGTGGTTAGGGAGCCGGCCACATAAACTGGGGCTGGCTGGTTCAAAACTGGCCCGGGTCTGCTAAACAACAATGACAACGATAACAACAACAACAAAATAGCCAGGTGTTGTGGCAGATGCCTGTAGTCCCAGCTACTTGGGAGGCTGAGGCAAAAGAATCACTTAAGCCCAAGAGTTTGAGGTTGCTGTGAGCTATGACACCACGGCACTCTACCAAGAGTGACATAGTGAGACTATCTCAAAAAAAAAAAAAAATCCTTAGGGTTTCCAGGCAAAGGTCAAACTACTCCCATGAAAAGAAAATTTGGCTGGGGTCAGACTTCTCAAGAGTAACAAACACACAAAGTATTACAAGAGTAGAGCAGTATTTTTAAGAAAAACAAGGGAAGATATTACAAACCAAGAATTTTATATCTAGCCTGCTATCCTTTAAGAATCATGTATATAGGAATCACTATTCAACTTTGAAACAGTCCTAAAAGACACAAAACTAAATTTGACAAATGAAAAGACATCACATCACATCTTTTTGGATAGGAAAATACATCTCTGTCAGTCCTGAGAAAACATACTTATTTTAAGGAATTAGCTCACAAGATTGTGAGGGCAAGCCAGCAAGCTGGAAACGTGCAGGGAGTATTGCTATGTTTTAGTCTTGAGGCAGAATTCCTTATAAGAACAAAAGTTATTAGATTAAGGTCCCACCCTAATCTAATAGGACCTCATCTTAACTACTTATATCTGCACCAACTCTACTCCCAAACAAGGTCACATTCTGAGGTAGTCTTTGGGGGGGGACCCCAGCTGACATTAAAATGTTGATTCTCCCTAAGTTATTAACAAGTTGTTTTTTTTGAGACAGCATCTCACTTTGTCATCATGGGTAGAATGTCATGGAGTCACAGCTCATAGCAATCTCAAACTCTTGGGCTAAAGCAATACTCTTACCTCAGCCTGCCTAGTAGCTGGGACTACAGGTGCCTGCCACAATGCTCAGCTATTTTTCTTTTAGAGATGAGGTGTCACTTTAGCCCAGGCTGGTCTCGAACTCCTGAGCTTAGGCAATCTGCCCACCTAGGCCTCCCAGAGTGCTAGGATTATAGGTGTGAGCCACTGGGCCTGGCCAGTTGTTAATAAGTTTAATGCAACCCCAATGAAAATAACAAAAATGTTTTTATGGAGTCAGTCAAGTTGATCCTAAAGATAATATGGAAAACATCATAAAGGAAAAATTATAAGGGCAAACTAGCCCTATAAGATATTAAAACATAGCATTAATAGATAGGCAAACCATGGCTTGGCACCTGCAGCACAGTGGTTATGGTGCCAGCCACATGCACCGAGGCTGGTGGGCCAGCTGAACAACAGTGAAAACTGCAACAAAAAAATAGCTGGGTGTCGTGGCAGACATCTGTAGTCCCAGCTACTTGGGAGGCTGAGGCAAGAGAATTGCTATGAAGCCACAGCACTCTACCCAGGGCGACAGCTTGAGACTCTCTCAAAAAAAAAAAAAAAAAAAAAAGGTAGGCAAAACAATGAGATATAATAGAAAATCCAGAAAGAGACTGAAGTACACACAGAAATTTAGTATATAATAACTATGACACCTCAAATAATCACTGTGCAAAAGTGGACTTTGTTTTTTTTTCTTTTTTTGAGAAAGAGTCTCACTCTGTTGCCCGAGGCTGTGCCATGGCATCATAGCTCCTGGACTCAAGCAAGATCTTCTTGTCAGCCTCCCGAGTAGCTGAGGCTACAAGCACACCACGATGCCTGGCTAGTTTTTCTATTTTTAGTGGAGACGGGGTCTGGAACTCCTGAGCTTGAATAATCCATCCGCCTCAGCCTCCTAGAGTGCTAAAATGCCTCCTGAGTTCCAGGCATGAATGAGCCACTGGACCCAGCCTAAAAGTGAACTTTGTAATAAATATTGGTGGGCAACCCAATACCCACTTGGAAAAACATAAAACTAGATCCATACCTCCCAACAAAAGAATAAATGGATTAAAGATGTACATTTTTTTAAAAAACCATACAAGTACAAGAAGAAAACAATGAATTGTTTTATAGTCTTTGAGTGTAAGAACAGCTTTACTAACTTAACTCAAAATCCAAATGCAGTAAGAGAAAATCTTGATAAATTTGACTACCTAAAAAAAATTATAACTGGCATATTTTACATATCACATAACTTATTACAAGTGTAGAACTCAATGTTTTAGTAAATTTACCAAGTTGTACATCACTATCATAATTTAGAACATTTGATCACCCCATGTGCACATTTACTGTAAATAATCCCATTTCTCACACTGACCCCCCCCTTTCCCAGGCAACCACACTTTCCTTGTGTATTTAACTTTTCTGGACATTTAATATAAATGAAACCATATAATATGTGGTCTCCTATATCGGCCTTCTTCCAATGAGCATAATGTTTTTGAGGTTCATTTATGTCATTCCATGTATCCATAGCTTGTCCCCTTTTATTTTTTAGTTCATTTATTTATTTTTGAGACAGGATCCCACTCTGTTGCCTGGGCTAGTGTACAGTGGCATGATCATTGCTCACTGCAACCTCAAACTCCTGGGCTCAAGTGATCCTTCTGCCTCAGCCTCCAGTAGCTGGGACTATAGGTTTGAACCTGCATGCATAGCTAATTTTTAAAATATTTTTACAGAGATGAGGTCTTGCTACGTTGCTCAGGTTGGTCTTGAACTCCTGATGTCACACCATCTTCCCACCTCGGCCTCCCAAAGCACTAGGATCACAGGTGTGAACTACCAAACCTGGCCCTTATTGCTGAACAGCATTCCTCATGTGGATATACCACATTCTGTCTATCCACTCACAACTCTGGGCTGTTACACTCATACCATTATTCAATGCTGCTAAAAACACCATTAAAAAGTCAAAAGACTAATAACAAACTGGGAGAAATATTTGCAGCATACATCACAGATAAAGTACTAATGTCCTAACATAGAACTTTCAAAATTTGAGGGGATAAAAGTTTAAAATCAGCCAAAGACATGAACAGACAATTCACCTAAAAAGATACCATAATGACCCTTAAACACGTGAAAAGATGTTCAAATTCACTTGTAGTAAGAGTGCAAATTGGCTCGGCGCCTGTGGCTCAAGCGGCTAAGGCGCCAGCCACATACACCTAAGGTGGCAGGTTCGAATCCCCAGCCCGGACCTGCCAAACAACAATGACAGCTGCAACCAAAAAATGGCCGGGCGTTGTAGTGGGCGCCTGTGGTCCCAGCTACTTGGGAGGCTGAGGCAGGAGACTCACTTGAGCCCAGGAGTTGGAGGTTGCTGTGAGCTGTGATGCCATGGCACTCTACCCAGGGGGATAGCTTGAGGCTCCGTCTCAAAAAAAAAAAAAAAGAGTACAAATTAAAATTATACTGAGAACACCTGATAGGATGGCTATCATTTAAACGACAGATAATAAGAAGTGTTGGTGAGGATGTGGAAAAACAGGAACGCTCACACATTTTTGGTGGGAATCTAAAATGCTACAACTACTTTGGGAAGCATTTTGGCAATTCCTCAAAGATTAAACACAGAGTTGCAATATGAAATTCCTTTCTAAGATATATATACCCAAGAGAAAAAAACATATGTCTATACAAAATTTGTACACAAATGTTCATAGCAGCATTATTCATAATAACCAAAAAGTGGAAACAGCTCAATTGTTTCATTAACTGATGAATGAATAAACAAAATGTAGCATTAATATATCCACACGGTGGATATTGGTTAGCCACAATAGGAATGTAGTTTGGAAATGTTATAGATGAACCTTCAAAACATAATGCTGAAAGAAGCCAGACACAAAAGGTCACATTGCCTGATTCCATTTATATGAAATATCCAAAATAGGCAACTCTATTGAGGCAAAAAATAGTGATTCCCAGGGGCTACAGAGAGCAAGGAAGAGGAAGTGGCTAATGAGTAAGGAGTTTCTTTTTGGGGAGACGAAAATGTTCTAAAATTGATTGTAGTAATGGTTGTACAACTCTGTGAATATACTAGTAAGCCACTAACTTGTACACTTTAAATGGGTGAAATGTACAGTATGTGAAGTATACCTCAATGCATCCGTTATTAAAAATAAAAACTACAGTGAGATATCACCTATCAGACTGGCACACATGCTCTAGCTTGACAAGGTACTCTGTTGAAAAGGCTGTGGGGTAATGCTTTTGTATATTGTGGGAATGCAAAATGGAGGGCAAATTTGGCAATATCTAACAAAACTAAATATGCACATATTTACCCTCTGACCCAGCAATACCACTTTTAGGACTTTACCCTTAAAATACATCTGTCACAACAAGGAAATACCTATATATAAGGATATTCTGAAATACTTATTCTTGTAAAATAGAAACTACCTAAGCATCCAAATAAAGCATATGGGTTAAATATGCTATGATATACTATGATATCTTCACTTGATGGAGTACTATGTGGTTGTACAGGAAAAAAAAAGAGGAATATCTCTATAAGGTGATATGGGGTGGATTCCAGGATGTATTGTAAAGTGAAAAAGAGTACTGAATATTCTGTTGTTACCTTTTGTGTAAGAAAGAGGAAAGAAGGGTTAGGAGTGGTGGCTCACGTCGGTAACGGTAGCACTCTGGGAGGCTGAAGTGGGTGGACTGCCTGAGCTCAGGAGCTTGAGACCAGCCTGAGCCAGAGCAAGACCTTGTCTCTAAAAATAGCCAGGCACTGTGGCAAGTGCCTTTAGACCCACCTATTTGGGAGGCTAAGATAAGAGAATCACTTGAGCCCAAGAGTCTGAAGTT